GTCCTTTTCTCAGCAAATTAATAATTATTATTACGATATATTTGATGATTATGGTATTTATTTTATATTCTCTCACACTTATGATATTTTGCCAGCAACCTAAGGCTATACATGTATTGTAAACTGCTGGCTGTCACAAATCTATTATAACCAAGGTTTTTTGGGCATTTTTGGCTATACCCAAATTAGCAGTTTTGTAGCATCTTTCAATAACATTTCTATGACCTTGAGATGGTCCAAGCTGATCAGTCAAGGTGACTTCGGATTGGAGGATTTGTACATTTAAATATTTGTTTTTTGCACACTCTTCGGAACATGTGCGTGTTTTGGGTCGGTGGCAAAAGGTCGCTATTTTCTTGTTCTTCATTCATGTTTCTTGTCCGTTATCATCTTATTTAACAGCGTCCTCAACAATTTCTGTCTGGTTCTTATGATCCAAGATTGGTTGTCTGGTGTGTCTGGTATGTCTGGTTGTGATCAACGATAAATATAGTGTAGTCGAAACAGATGGTACATTGGTCATGCTGATGCACAATCTTAATGGTACCGGTAACGGTGCATTATATTTGACCTTGGGTCTCTTTCAAGGGCCAGTTGCGATTTTGTTAGACCGTTTAAGGTCCCCGTGTTAGCCGTAACGAAACAATCTGTAACAGCACGTTGGGTCGTTTCCGTTTTACTGCCGCATCTCCTTCATTTATCCGATATTTTCTTTCCTGATGTATTTACCACATTTTTTCGTAAGCACCACTCGATCTTGCGCTGCACCTGCAAATCCTCCGGTTTCCTGTCGCAGCCCACACAACCGGAGCCAACTAGGCGACTTTTTAGGTCGACTCCATAGCACGGTAAATGCAGCATAGCAACGCCTCTGAATGGCTTTCTTCCCCCATTAATCAGTTCTGAATATTACACATTCTTTCTCTGTTCTCTACCACGCAACTGCCTTTAGACAGATTTAGCAGCATATCTTTTGTCTGCTTCTGCTCTGGCTCTGTGTAACAGTGAACGAATGAATGATCCATCAGAGAATGTGCACGAAGATTTTATTCTCCTTTCTTTCCAGAGATCAGAACACTGAGCAGATTGCGGTTGTTGCGATTTTTGGTTTTCATGATGGCACATTGTGT